GTGAGAATGCAGGTCTTCCTCTCCCCACATTCCAGGCTTGGACTCCACCTAACTCATAGCAGTTTCCAAATCTGAGGGGGAGGTGCTCTGCCAGTTTTGGGAGATGATGCAGTGCCACCCAGCAGACAAGTTGCTGCCCAGCTGTGACTGAGCCTCCACTGCCAGGTTGGAGGGTGGGATGGGCCCTTCAGAGGGAAAGCTGTCCGGCTCTCTGCTGCATCTGTGCTCTTGTGAATACAGTCAAGCCCAGAGGCCTGGCGATGTAGCCGTGGGATGGCCAAGGCTCCGTATCTCACACACGTCCCCCAGGACATGGAGAGCTGAATATTTATCAGTTGGATTGCTGTGGACTTGGGGCACTCTGAACTCAAAAAGAACTTTCAGGACTTTCATTTTTTCCCCAATGACCTTGACGTCTGTGTGCCCTGGCCCTCTGTGGCCATGTCTACATTTGTGGTGTTTTTTCTTGCTGAGATAGTGTTTCATAGAGGCAGGTTTGGTAAAATGTATTTCCGTTCGGATAAAATATATTAAAATATATTTCCATTCTAAATAAGTCAGTGCCTGTTTTGAATTAATCACCATGATGCAGAGTAATTAAGTATAATACAAATCTACAAAAAGAGTGTTTCTTTCGGGAAGGAGCTGCTAATTCCCTTTAATGCCATACCGTGGCCTATCCTAGGGACCGGAAGATTTTCCCCAGAAATCCGACTTCCATTTTATAAAATCTAAGTCAAGATTGTTCTCCCTAATTCTATATAAGTTGCTGTGACAGTTCAGAAAACTTGAGCATGCACAACGAGAGAATTCACTTACTTCCCTAGACTTCAGGCCAAGCCAAGCAAAACAGGAGTCCATGGTTCTTTCAACTCGTGGGTTGGCACTGGGGACCTGGAGAGATAATGTTGGCCTCAGAGGACAGGAATCCAGCTTCCAGGGCCACCGCTCAGCTCCACGGACAGGAGCTCAGGAAATGTCTGCAGACTCCTCCTCTTAGACCTCTTTCCCTCCTTACCTCCCTCCCTCCCTTCCCTCTCCTCTGGCTTTCACCCTTTCTCTCCCTCTGTCTCTCTGCCTCCTTCCTCCTCCTCCTTTCTTCCCACACCCTCCCCCCGTCTTTGCCCTTCCTCTGTCGTTCTCTGTGTATCTCTCTTTCTCTCCCAGTCTCTCTTGTCTCTCTCTTCCTCCATCTCACTCCCTTCCTATCTCCCTCTCTCCCTCCCTTTCTTTCTTCTGTTTCTCTTTTCTCTTTCTCTGTTCCCATGGGCACTCTGGCTATCTTACTAAATCTCACACGGCTATCTCACTTAATCCTGTCAGTATCCCTCTGATGTGCTGATATTGACCCTATGTACAGATCTGCACTAGCTCCTGACTAGGTCATGACTTAGTCTCTCTCCCTTTCTCTCCTTTTTGACTCTTTTCCTCTCTCCCCTCCTTCTTCTCTGTCTCCATCTCTCTCTTTCTCTCCCTCTCTCTTTCTTTTCCTTTGTCTCCCTCTTCCTCTGTCTGTCTCTCACCCTCCTTCACTCAGGGTTCTGTCTACCCATTCATATCTAGGGATCACTATTGCTATCCTCTGAGATCACAGCCTCCTTTCTTTGCCTTTTCTCTGTTCTACCCTCAAAAGGTTTTATAACCAATAAGGGAGTTTCTTTTCCTGTCTGCTCCCATTACTGCCTCCTTCTGTTTGTAGAATTCTGACCGGCTGCTGCGTACAAGTACCTAGACTTATTGTTCCACTGAAGCAGGTAGACTTCAATGATTCCACCTGACTCCTCTCTACAACATTTACTACAATAAAACAAGAGGCCTCACTGCTTTGAATAAAAATGGGGAGCTCCTACTTTCTGACCTAGGGTTCAAAATTAAGCCTTGCATTTTCCTAGGGGCCAATAATCAATCACAGAGGCATTTAGATGGATAAACTATTTGAAAAACCTCTCCAGATCTTTGCTTAACCAATTAATAGGCTATCCTTAATACCTATCCATTGGAACCTATAAAAAGATCTGTAATTGAAACTGCCTTTCAAGGGTTGTGGTTTTCAGAGTGTGGTCCCAGAACCAACATTATCAGCATCACCTTCTTTTATTAACTTATTAGGAATACACATTTTTTAGCACAACCCTGGGCCCACTGAATCAGAAACGGGGGGTGGGGATGGACCCACAGCCTGTGCTGAGCAAGCCCTCCAGGTGATTCTGATATGGACTCAAGTGTGAGAACTGCTGCTTCAGAGGGAAATTCCTGCCACTCAAAGATCTGCAGTGTCATTTGTAAAATTCTTAGAGGCAATGTTGGAGAAACGAGGGAAATAAACCAAAATCAGAAGACACGGGTCAAACCCCCCAAAGTCATGACCTAGTCAGGAGCTAGTGCAGATCTGTACATAGGGTCAATATCAGCACATCAGAGGGATACTGACAGGATTAAGTGAGATAGCCGTGTGAGATTTAGTAAGATAGCCAGAGTGCCCAGCACTTGTTGCATGATGCTCAGTAGTTACCTGGTCTCTTCTTTATGTCTACAGCTCTAATGAAACAAAAAACAATAATTATTATACAAAACAAATATTTTAATATACCACTTTATTCTGGCAATGAGCAGAAACTCTTAAGTTCAAAATCCATTTGACGAATAAACAGTTGAGGCATTTATCCCTAGTTGGGTTAGTTCATTTATTTTCACTTAGAAAGGTGTAGCAGTTTCTTTCAATTTAATCACTAACATTTGAGCAACTTTTAAAGCCAAGCACTGCATGTTTCTCCAAAACAAACAAACAAAAAAGGATGAATATAAATGAGTCTGTGTGTATATGTGTGTCTTTGAGGGAGGGACAGTTAGGAGAGAAACAATTTTGTCTCAGAAGGAAACAAAACAACGGCCTCATTTGGGGAGAAATCTAGAAATGAAGTAGATATGTAGCAAGTCAGGGCTTTAGCACCTGCTGAGCATGGTCAGGCCTGTTCTTACTGAATTGTGATCTGGTTTCAGGATAAGACAGCAGGAAAAAAATAGTAAAATAGAAAGAAGCCCACGCCTGGGCAACAAGGCAAGACCCTGTCTCTACAAAAATTAAAAAATTAGCCAGGCATGGTGGTGCGTGCCTGTGGTCGCAGCTACTCAGGAGGCTGAGGCAGGAGGATCACTTGGGTCCAGGTGGTGGAGGCTGAAGTGAGCTGAGATCGCGCCATTGCACTTCAGCCTGGGCAACAGACCACGACGCTCTCAAAAAAAAAAAAAAAAAAAAAAAGAAGAAAGAAGAAAGCAAAAGTATTTCCTAAACCTGGAAACCATAACTTACGAAAGTGAGATACTTAAAAATGTCTCTATTGGAAAGTACCACAAAACGGGTCATTTTGTTCCTGCACAGCTTGAAAGAACCGTTGAGTCGCCTTGGGCCGATCTCCTCGCGCCACCAGGGGGCGCGCTGGGCCTCCCAATGCGGCCAGGCAGACGCAGTTCTCGTCTTTGAGGTCCTGTCATTCTCTGTATAAACAAGTTACGTTCAAGTGTTTAGGATATAAATTACGACCATGCCGGCTGCCTCGGAAGGAATGTAAACACAGCACTGTGGTCGGAGCAAACTCTGAAACTGACTTCATAATTTATAGCAGGCCCCCGAGTAGCTCACTATAAAAGAAAATAAAAAGGCCTTATTTAACTGCAAATACGATAATGGAGAGACAAAAAATGTTTAAATCACTTCTTAATTTTAGAAGATACAGGAAGGAAACCTAAAGATTAGAAAGATGGTTAAGACTTTTTGAAACAAGATGTTTCACTTAGGCGACTCTCTCTGCAGTGAAATTCACTTAGGATACAAAAACCCTGGGGTGTGGAACAGCTCCCTAGAGTACCAAGAGCCTGGTGACTGACTGGGAGAAAGACCTTTTAACGGATGGAAAACAAAGGTGAGTTTTCCAATCAGGAAAGAAAAAGCAAAAAACAAAAACAAAAATCCTGCCCTGAATTGGAGAGGAAAATGCACAGGGTGATTGGGGCAGAGAATTTCTTTTCTCTGCTTCTCTCAGACCCATTGTCCCTTCAGCTCATGATGTTGAAGGGCTGCTGGGACAGGTCAGTCCTTCTGCCTAGTTGGCCTATTTTGCTCTTCCACCCGGAGCGTCACCAGCTCTGCCTGTAACATTGGTGATTGGAAAACCTAGCAAGAACAGAAAAAGGGGCTGAGGGGCTCCCTTGTTAAATCCCTGGTTAAAAGCGAGGAGTGGGGAGAGGAGGCCGGGAGGAAGGGAGGGATGAACAGGCTTGCTCTGTGCTGATGCTGAGCAGGGCCAGATAAGCTCTGAATTGGAGGGTGGGACAGGCCGCAGCCACAAAGCACCATGTGGGGAGTCCACCTTCTGTATTAAACTCCCAAAGGAAGTTGAACCTCCCTGCTGGGAGCCTGCCCCCTGCAGCTCAGCAGGGCTCCCCCTGCATTCTTCAGATCTGAACCCCATTCCTGACAGCATGCGACCGACCGCCACCCATAACAAAATTGCAACATGCAAAGGGAAGAAGCAGGGTGCTGTTCTTTGGGTATCCAACCCTGGAGGGGGGCTTACCACTGTGCCCCACATCCATCAACCTGTGCCAGTGGGGAGGGAGAGAGGGCAAAGGGTAGAACACTCCCTGGGCACAGGAAAGAAAACAAAAGGGGCACAAAATTGGTTTCCTCAAAATCAAACCCTTGCCTTTCTGTATCTTGCCTGGTTTTCTTTCTAGTTCCTTTCACCTTCTGGTTTTTGTTTTGCCAGAAAAAGCTAGGGTGAAGTAAAGAAAGAAATAATAGAAAACGTTTCTTCCACTCTTTCTCCTGAGAAGACTCACAATCAGAACCTGGCCTGTGTCACTCAAGGCACAGACCCCACACCATGTCAATTACACCACTGGAGGGGGTGTGGGTAGAGTTGCACAGCTGCCTGCTAGGGAGGGTAACCTGGCATCCATTGCTCTCAGGGTGCCCGAAGACAAAATCAGCCCCTAAAGCAACTATTTGTTATATACATTTTATTGAAAAAAATTTTACAACAAAATATTTTGGCAAACTGTAAAAGTATACATAAGTGCAAATATATCCTCCTTTTAAAATACAAGCAAAGTGTGAGTATACACGAAGGTCATAAAAATATCTTTAAAATATGGTGGTAGAAAACAACCTTGTAAAAACGTTGTATTGTCACAATACTGAAAACCACTTTCTTAAACTAGACACATTGTTTCTAAATAATTCCTTAATAATGTTCTTTGGCACCTGTATCCAAATGTAGTGTTTGGGGAAAATGAGTCTCCCACTCAGCTAGGCAACAAGAAGAGGCTTTCTTGAAATCTTGTGCTTAGCACTGCCTTTTTGAAAAGCACACAAGTTTTCTTAGACAAACACACACACACACACAACTTGTCTGCTTTTTTCAGACCCTGATTACTGAAGGCAACGAAGATCCCAGAGTTACACGTTGATGCCTGACGCATGGCACATTTTCCCACCTCCTCAATCTGCCCTCTCCCTCATGTGGGAGCGTGCAGGTGTTCGGACTGGGAACGCTACCTTGCCAACGGTTGTCCTTCTTTCAGCAGTAGGCAAATAACAGTGACCAACGCGATCCTGGGCATTCTGGCTAAGTGGCAGGTGTGCGGCTTACTGCTATCCGCGTGCATGTGACGTGAATCCGTCCCAGTTTCTATCTGCCCCCTCTGAGGAGGGGAGAGGAGAGAGCGGCCATCACTTGGCCTCTTTCCGTTCACGTTCACATGACGCAGGGCTTAATATCCTGACAGACGCTCTGGTGGTGATGGTGATAATACGACCCGCTAGCTGAGGGATGGAAGGAAGAAATCCCATTGAAGTTGAGGACAAAATCTTTTCTGTCACACACTGGAGTAGAGTGATGCTGGTAACGGGGCAGTCCCACTGAAAGAAGAAAGAAAGAAAAAACCTCTTCAGAAACAAAGTCATCCAGTTGATGGTGGGGTGTCTTATTTTGCCTCAGGGTATAAAAGGAACTGCCGTGCCTTTTAGTACATGGCTAGACAACTGGCAGAGAAAGCCCAGCTTTAGAAGTATCTCAAACACGACAACTGCGGGTCATAGAATGGCCTTGGAATCATGATGTTTTGTTTTGATGCTCGCACAAACACAAAGCAAGGTCCCCCTCAAGGGGGGTTCTTATGTCCTGGAAATCCAATTTTATTCTCTGAGGCTGGGGTGTGCACTTTCATCTCAGAATGAGCACAGGTACCGGACAACTAGACCCAGACTCTGGTTCCTGGCACGGCCTGTGCTGCCCTGAACCCTGGCTGCAGGGAGGGCCAACCACCCTACCCCAGAAACACCACTGCGGCCTTCTTTCTTGTTCTGAGCCTTGTTTCCCAACTAACTGGGCCGGTCAGAGCCGCCCAGGAATGCTCCCTGGGCCAAAGGGGACGATAGAAAACAACCCAAATGCAAGATGAAGGGATGGGGCAGAAAAGCACTCCTCTTCTCCTGCCCCTCCGCAGGCATCTTCGTGAGTCCCCAACGTCTTAGCTTTCGTCTAGGGAAGTCAGCACTTCAGGGCGCAGAGAAATGCCCTTTGGTCCGAAGCAACTGGCAGCGCGAGGAGTCCCTGCGGTAGCCCCAGGCTGGAGGGGGACAGAGAAGGCCCGGACCCTGCTCTCCCGGGACGGCTCCCCGGTCCCGGGCCTGCGCCCGGCCGCTTCACTCCCACCCGCCGCTGGCTTTTGCTTTTGCTTTCTCAGCGCCTCCTGGCCCCGGGGCACAATCAGCCTGCAGTGCCCTGCGCACTGGGCCCCGAGGCTACTGGACCCGGCCCTCTCGGCACCGGGCTGCGTTAGGTCCATTCGCCCGGGTCTTTTCTTAGTTACCCGAGTGGTGTGGGGACCATAAAGTGCACGTCGCTTCGGGCCGCACTCAGTTTTTCAGTGCAAGAAAACCGTACCCAAGGCCCGCCGGGCTCGGGCCCTGCTCGTGTGGCCTCCGCTCCGCCGTGCCCCCGCAATGACTGAGCAAGGAGGCTGCTCAGTGCCCGCCGCCTACTTCCTTGCCCGCAGCACCTACCCGAGCGCGCCCGGCGCTGCTCTAACGCAGCTG